TCTTCCCTTCCCTTCCCTTCCCTTTTCTTTCCTTTTCTCTTTTTTTCTTCTCTTTCTTTTTCTTTCCCTTCCCTTTCTTTTCCTTTCCTTTCCTTTCCTTTTTTTTTCCTTTTTTCTTTTTTTTGTTTATATCAGATGTGCATGAGGCACATGAAGCGTACGCCTCTAGCATGCCTCATGAAAAAAGCACAAGAGGCGTACGCCTCAGAGGTGTCAGTGCCTCTGGCATACGCCTCAGAGCGTTTTGGGAGCGCCTCGCTTGGAGGCGCACCTCCAGACGTACACTTCCCATGCCTTTTAAAACACTGATTCTAAAATTGGTTTACTCTCAGAACTTGGTCTAAATTGGGACTTTGGTTTTAGGAGGGGTTGAAGAGATAATGAGTGTGACTCCCATGTTCTCTTACTGTCATAGCTGGAAGATGTTTTCTTGGACAATTATAAAAAAAAATGTTTTTTTTGGAACCTAACTCTCCAAATTGAAGAATTTGGTTCCCCTTGCCAAATGGCCCATTCTCTTGTCTCCATTTTTAACTTTCTTGTCTTGCCATAACCCTTACGGGTAAGTGCTCCTTGGGAAGATCAACACATGTGATGTGCTATAGAAAAGAAGGCCAAATAAGTGCCTCCCTCGTCTCTCCCCATGTGTGTATCCTTTGCAAAAAAAGTGGTGAGACCCTTCCTCTTATTATTCTCCTGCCCCCCCTTTGTCTTGTATTTGGAAATGCATCTGTTCTCTCTATGGTTGCAGACAGGTACCCCACAAGATGTGGTAGGTTTGTTCAACCCCGGTTTCTTAAGGCAACAAAACAAGAGAGCAAGAGTTATGTAGAAGGCAGCAAGAGCAGGGTTGGTATGGCCTGTATGGAAACTTGGAAAGAAAGAAATTAGAGAATCTTTTCAAAGGAGGAACTGATTGAAGTCATAATAGTGAGAACAGTACATTGGGTAAAAACCTTGGACCTTTTTCAAGAATTCTCAACAAATGACATAATTTGATCCTGGCCGAAGTGGCAAAAACAATTAGACTAGCAGAAAGTGTAAGAATGGTTGGAAACCTCCAACTACTAACAAGTTAAAGTTGAACTTTGATGGTAGCTCGTTGGGTAATTCAGGAAGGGTAGGATTCATAGGAACATGAGGTGATTTTAGAAACCACCAGAGTGGTAATGACCCTATTTCCAGGACCAATTGATTTTGGAGATTCAGTACAGGCTGAGATTGTGGCTCTTTTACAAGGATTGAGGCTTGCAGTACAACTTGGAGTAAGGGAATTGGAAGTAGGAGATTCACAGTTAGTCATCTCTTGGTCCAATAAGTTCAGATCATCTCCTTGGCAATACAGACATGCTTTCAGGGAAATTGATATCCTAGCAAATAGGTTCAATTCTATTTTTAGCTAGATAAGAAGAACTGCAAATGGCTTGGCAGATGCTTTGGCAAAACAAGGAGTTCCAGACCTAGTTTGTTTTGGGCAAAGTTGTAACCTGATGTACTTTGGGTTGTTGGGGTGACCTATTAGCTGTTATTAACCTAAGAATCAAAATTCAAGTACCAAAGAATCAGAACCAATTTAACTGACCATGTAAGACTGATATCACAAAAGATAAGAGGTAACTAAGAATGAAAACATAGATTGCGGTTCTCCAGTTTAGTCAATCCCTGTTATGGAAAAATGCTCAATAATTGTGAATTGGTGATAATTTTTTTTTTGATCAATGAATTGGTGATAATTAAAGCTCAAGCTTTGCCATCAGAGGGGGAAATGTTAAAAATAAATAAATAAGAAGTGTCAATTATGTATAATCTAAGATACTTACTTGGGATACTGATTTTAGGGCATCACGGACATGGTAGACCAGCTCCGAATCACTAACATCAACATCTACCATTTCGTAGAATCCAGGTCTGTCAGTTGCCAATTCCACACCCATACTCTCCAATCTAGGTCAGAACCTGTTGGGGTTTAATCTTCTGCCAGTCGACCGGGTGGAGAGAAACGAGAAAATACAATTACAAAGAAAAAAAACACATAAAATATCAAAGAGTGAGCATCACTCACATCAGATAGATTTGCAGAGCAAGAGAGATAATATTAAAAATCAAATTTACATAGCCCAGCTATAATTACAAAGAAAGAGAAAAACAAAGCACCATAAGGATTATAAATTTTGAACTTTTATTTTACTTTTAAGACGCAACTTTAATTTTTAATTATTTAAAATTAATAAAACCAAGTTAAAAAAAAAAGAAGCCGATAGGCCGAGTGAATCAAGTTGGGTGATTTCTGGTATTTTCTTTTGTACAAGTAGTAGCATCATCGCCTAAGCCTTGTCACAACCATAAAGGATCGGTCACTCTTATGTACATGTATACCATAAGAATTTCCCAGAACACAAGGCCATTAGCGATTCTTCAAACACATACCAATCAAAATCTAACTTTATTATATATTACTAATTCGTCAAACACAGAAATTTCTCCCAAGAATCGAGAGATGGTGAAGGAAGCTAACCCAAAGCAATCAAGTAAAAGATAACCCATCAAGAGACTATAAGAGATGCAAGTCACACATACCACCTATGATCTAGAATTCCAAATCCACAAAAAAGGGAACAAAGTATAGGAACAGGACAAGAAGTTATACCGTCTGCTACCTTCTACTTCTACTTCTTCTGAAGACCACCGCCGAGACTTGGGCGTTGGCTGCCACTACCGCTGCCCTTTGCCCTCCACCAGCTGTTGGATCTTGAGATGTAGAAACTATTAACGGGCTGCTGTTACAAGATGGCCTGCTATGGAGACTTGAAAATTCCAACTACCATGCATTGCCTAAGAAAGAAAAAAGAGATCGAATGAAAGATTAGGGTTTCCCTCTCTTCAGCACGAGGCGGGTTAGGATTATGTAAATTGTAGACTACCCGCTTCCCCAAACCTTCCGATCCGTACCCGCACCAAAACTCATACCGGCTTGGATATTTAGAATCTAAACCCTTTTTCATATAAACAAATGCAAAACCCTCTCCGGCTTTTACCCTCTTATATTCAATGGTAGGGGCGGGTTGGCCTTAAAATGTGCATTTAATTTCCTATTATTTTGTATTATATATAAACAACAAATAAATAAAATAACACAAACAAACAAAAACAAATTGTAATTATATGATTAAGATATATAAAAAACATATAAACTAGCAATAATGCATTCACATAAAATTCTAAATATTATTAAATTCAATATCTAATACATAAAGTTTATATGCTTTCCAACAATACGTAGGTTAAAAAGGGTTGGATTTAGTCTAATATCGTACCCTACTCAAACCCATATGAATTGTAAAATCCCAAAAGTTGTCCCTACAACAAAACCCTCGTTGAAGGAAAAAAAAAAAAAACATTGGGGTGGGTACCCACTAAATAACGTAAAAATTGCCATCCTTAGGATTAGATAGTAAAATTCTAATTCTATTGACCATTAATAAAAATGGGGCATTCATCAAAACTCCCTGATTTTAATTTTCAAAATTACCCCTCACTATAATTTTTATTTGCTTTACATTGTTTAAAAGTTCATTAGTTTTTGTCTTGAAAACTCTTATTTTTATTTCCAAAATTTCCCTCAATATTTATTATACCATTTTAATTTAAAAAAAAGATTCTCCATTCATTTCATATAGAAAAGCTTACATGATTAGGATTTGAGGTGTTGTAGTGTAGGTTAAGTTGGCCTTTACATGATATATAAGCAAAAAGGTGGGCTACTTGATTGTAATATCTAGGTATTATATACAAAACATATTGATTCAAAAGAGGATATTAGTCTTCTAAGATGCTTATATGCAGCAGCTCGAAACCATTGAGTTACTTGGTCTGTATTTGCAAATTCAACTAATGTTGCATTATCTATATATACCAAAAGATGTGATATTCCTTTTGTGGAGGCCACTTGAAGCCCTCTTAACAAGGCTAAAAAATTTCAGCATCATAGTTGTTGAGTGCCCAACAAGGCTTGCCTTCTGCAATGATGTACTGTTCATTGGCATGTTGGAGGATGAACCCTCGTCCTGCATAGCCTGAAACTAGATCAAAGGAACCATCAGTAAATAAGGATGGCCTATTACTATGATGTAACGGATGAGGTCGAGATAGTGGATATTCAATAGAGAAATTGCCCACTGCTTTAATACCTATGTGGGTTCGTGTCTAATGTTCTCATAAATCCACTTATTTCTAGCTTTCCATATATGGTAAATAATCAATGCAAATTTGCAGAGGCTTATTAGAGCTTGTTGTTTGCCTAGGTTTTGACACAATGAAGTGTACCATTCTGTAATGATGGTTTGGATGGGAAGATGAGGTATGGATGAAGGATTTAAACCAATTTGGGCCCCACACCATATAGCTTACGCAAATGGGCATTGAAAGAGCAGATGATGAATCAACTCTTCGTGAACCTTGCAAAATACACAAAGTTTGTCTGATTCACAGAGCCAAACACACTTGCTTTTTGTGAGCAATCCGTCCCAAAGGATTTTCCAAAGGAAGACTTGGAACCTGAATGGAATCTTGAGCTTCCAGATTAACTTCCAGTTAAAATAGGTAACCAAACTTGAAGCACCTAATGAGGATAAGAAGTGGAAAGCTGATTTTCCTATATAAATACATGAAGCATTATCTTTCCAGATAAGTAGGTTGGTGGATTTGTTTGGCTCTGGATGGATTGCAATGATATGTTGGATGGTAGACTCCCGAAAGAGTTGTTGGAGTTTGGAGAAGTTCCATGAGCCTTCAGGGTTAAGTAGCTCTGAGACCTTTAGGTTAGACACTTGATTTTAGGAAGATGATGCGTTAAGATGTGGTATGTGTCCAGGTAATGATGGGACCCAAGGGTCTGAAGTTGCAGAGACTTCTGAGCCATCCTTAATAGACCACAACAAATTTGAATGCAACAATGGTAATAATTGGTGAGCTTGTTGCCATCATTGAGAACTGCGTCGACCTTTTTTTATGCAAAAAAGGAGGTGTGTGGGAAGTATTTGAATTTGATCTGTTTACTCCAAAAGGCTCTCTTGTCCGTTAGTAGTCTCCGTATTTGCTTTCCAAACATAGCTTGGTTCATAGAACCATAAGTTCTAAAACCCAAGCCTCCTTGGTCTTTAGGTTGACATATCTTACTCCAAGGAATAGTGTGTCTAGAAGCACTGGCGATATCTCCCCACCAAAACAACCTTGTCATTCTACCTAGCTTGGAGGCTACTGCTCTCGGAAAAATGATGTTGACATAGAATAGATTGGAATGGAATAGAGGACAGACTTGATAAGAGTGACTCTACCAACTTGTGAAAGAAGTTTAGAACTCTAAGAGTTTATCTTCGAAGATACCCTATCGATTATCGCCTTATGTGATCAACAAAGCTAAGTGTTTGATCCCACCTGTACTCCAAGGTATTTGGTACCAATGAGTGGTTTCTTTATCTGCAGAATGTGAGAGAGAAATTTGTGGTGCTGACAGGGAACATTCTTGTTAGTGTAGATACTTGACTTGGAGTAGTTAATTTTTTGTCCCTACATATTTTCAAAAAGTTTTTTAGAACATTAACTAGAGTTTTAACCTGAGCTATGTTAGCTTTGCAGAAAAGAATGCAATCATCTACAAAAAAAGGAGATGAGTGATAGGAGCACCATTACGACTAATTCTTACTCCCTCAACCTGTCCTAAAAGTGAGGCTTGATTCAAGAGTTGAGTGAGTACCTCCATGCCTATGATAAATAGATATGGGGAGATCGGATTCCCTTGCCTGACACCACGACTCAAATGGAAGTGATCATGAGATTCCCCTGCAATTTTGATTGAAAAGGAGGCAGTAGATATACACTAATGGATCATGTTGCACCATTTCGTGGGGAATTCCATCTTTTGTGGAACATGATATAGAAATAGCTAGCCCATTTTGTCAAAATCTTTAGACATATCTAGCTTTATGGCAATGAAACCTTGACCTTTCTTTTGGATCTTTAATTTGTGAAGGATCTCCTTCACCAGTAGAATGTAATTTGTAATCTGCCTTCCTTTGAGGAAACCTGACTGGAATGGAGATATCAGTTCTTGTAATACAGGTTGGAGGTAGAGTACCATCCATTTGGTAATTATTTTGTAAAGCACATTACATAAACTAATGGGACGGTAGCTTGAAGCATCCACTGGTTGATTGTTTTTGGGCATAAAGACTAAATTTGTATTATTGATTTATTTTGACAGGAACTCTGTATCAAAAAATTTAAGTACCATGGCAAAAATATTTGAGCCAATCAGATCCTAGAAGTATTGGTAGAAATAAGGAGTAAATCCATCAAGTCCAGGTGCTTTATGAGGGTGCAATTGTTTAACCACCACAATGATTTCTTCTAATGTGGGAGGGAGCAATAGTGAGTCTTTTTGAGATGAAGATAGGTTGGGGAGTGAAACAATGTCCAATATGCATGGATCGAAAACCTCCTGTTGACCCCCAATCTCTAGGACTGATTGTTTGAACACTTGTGCAATCTAGGAACGGTTAGATGACCAAGAGCCATCTAGAGATTTTAACCATACTAAATTGTTTTTTGTGTTTTTGAAATTTTCCATGTGGTGGAAGTATTTTGTATTTCTATCACCCTCCTGTAGCCATAGCTCTCGAGATTTGATTTTCCACATATGCTATTCTTTTAAGAGCCAACAGTGGTACTGGCCTGTGAGTGAATGAATGGAGCTGATTTTAAAGGTTTGCATCCGTAATATTCATTTGGAGGGATGAAATTTGGTCAACCAGCCTTTGAATGTGATTTTGGATTTGACCAAAGTGACTTTTATTCCAGGATTTGAGAGTACACAATTTCAACTTTGTGACAATTTTATGGGTAGGAGAACCTTGTATATGTTGGCTCCATAGGTCCAAGATAATTTGCTTGCATTGTGGGTTGTCTGTCCAAAAAGGCAAGAAGTGAAAATGGGGTTTTCTTTGGGGGGAAACTGGTTCAATGTTGATGGAGATAGCACCAGGATGGGACAGCTAGGTTTCTATCCAATCTTTCCAGCACTTTTGCTATGCCCTATTAGCCATTGGTCCATGTGAAAGGAGGCCCTGCAGACTCAAAGTTGACCAAGTTAAAGTTTTTTATGAAGTTTTGCATATGTTTAGAGAGGAAGGGCTTGTTATTTCTATATGACTTATGATCTTCAGATTTATAGATGTCATTAATATCCCCTATCAAAAGCCAAGGCAGACTAACATTTACTTGCATTTGTGCTAACTACAACCATAGATTCTTCTATAGGTGACAAACTGGGTAGCCGTAGAACAACAAAAGCTGCTAGGGATTGTTGGGTGGGTAATTGTTCACTTCTAGGCAAATTTAGTGATTGCTCACGTGTAGTGTGTTAATTTTTAGAGAATCTGACCAGCAACATAGAAGTCCTCCAGAGAGTCCTAAAGCTTCGTGGAGTATGAACTGAGTGAACCCCAATTTTTTGGCCAATGAGGAGTTTTTTCTTGTGGATAGCTTTGTTTCTGATAAAAATAGTAGTTAATGCTTCTCATGTTTACACAAAGCTCTCTTATTTTCTTTTGATCATTTGCCCCCCGAATATTCCAAGAAATAATCTTCATAATGGCGGGTAGATAAAAAACATAGTATTTCAATAAGAGATCAAGTAAAAAAGCGATGATGGTGTTAAGATGTACTTGTTGAAGAAGCTGGACTGAGAAAGACTAGTAGATTGAGAGGATGCTCTAGAGCTTCCTGGTCCTCCATTTCGGGTTCCATTGGGAGCGTAGTTGCTGCCATGTTGTGAGCGGGTGACCTATCCGAGTGGAGGGGGGAGTCCAAGGGTGATAATCTGTTGGAGGATTGTCAAGCACTTGTGTTGGCAGATAGATGGGTGTGGGTCGGGTGTAACAATGTGGTTCAGGTTAAAAGACACTCAGGAGGTAGGACTTGGCTAGTGAAGAAATC